TTATATTCTTTAAAGTTAGAATTATACTTTTGTTCACTTTAATGTTAAATTTTGCCAATTAACGTGTATTATACTGTTATGTTAGTCCTTCTTCTGGTGCATTTTTAATACAAATTGAAGCTTTATTCTCTTTCTGTTTCAGACAATCTACAACTTTTCCAGAGGCATGGGGAAATGTAGATGCAAGTTCAGCTGAGGAAGTTAGAGGCCTGCCCGATGTAGTTGGTAGAACTGGTTTCCCTTAATGTCATATATTTTAATTTACAGTCACAGGAAATGTGGTCCATGTAACAGGTTTAGCTGAACAAGGTATAAAGTTCTGCTGGTTTGAAAGTAAACCAGCAGGAGAAATTAACCCCACACAAATACCTTGTGAGAGATTTCAAACCAGAATTACAATTTAATAGAAAGATTACAGCAAATGCATTGATACAGCAAAACTGGTTTAAAACCACAGAGTACCACCTGGCACCCTGTTGGTCAGGGTTGCAGTGGTTGCAGTCCTGTCAGAACGGGTTATTGTAAATGCAGGTGAACCCAATGGGAAGAAATGATGATGTCTGACTCAATTCAGAAGGCTGAATGATTTCTTTATTATAACTATGCTAAAATACATTAATATACTATATAAAGGAAGATACTAAAACCACATATTACTTTCTCTAACTCTATATCTCTAACACAACTCGTGACCCTCTCTGAGAGCCCAGCCCCAGGTGGGTTGGATTGGCCATCAGGCTCAAACAATCCTCACCAGAATCCAATCAAGGAATCACCCCAGGTAAACAATTCTCTAAACACATTCCACATAGGAAAAACAAGGAGCAGAAATAGAAATTGTTTTCTCTTTCATTTCCCTCTGTGCACCTCTATGAAAAATCCTGAGAGAGGGAGAAATGTGCTGCCACAATGGGTGGTCTTGTGGAAGTTCAGGTCCTCCTCTGGATATCCAGTGGTGGTGGTGTTCCAAGTCCCCAGACTGCCTAAATTATATACAGTGGAGTTCATGTGGTACATCCCTCAGTGCAGGGAGCTTCATAATGGAATGGAATTATGTAATCCCATGAGTCCTAGAATATTTTTGGAGTATATGGTAGTCATTTCAGCTTCCCACTCTGCTACTGCATAATCAGTTCATTATGGCCCATTAGCACAGATGACCCTCACTGGATAGATGGTGCAGCTGCTTCCCCAGCTGAATCATTTTAAGGATAAAGAAATACCACCTCACCTTGCAGGGCTTGCCTCTCTCATTTTAACACTTTTATCCTGGTGGTCAGGTGTGCTGAAAACCACCCATCATTAGCAGGTCATCATAAAATGAGGTAGAGGGGAGTAGAGTACACAGTTTGGTTACACCCACATTGGTTCTCTTTCTCCTGCAAGGTAACAAAAATCAAGCTCAGGAAATGGCCTGACACATTTTTGATGATTTGTAGGTAATTTTGAAGATGACGAGGCTTCTAATAGAAAGAAAAAGACAGTTGTGAAATTGTTGGTCAATCACAGGTTATGTTTAGATGATAAATTCCAGTTCTGATGTAATCAGATCTCCTTCCTGAAATGTTGCAAATTTTTTATATTGTATCTGAGCTTAACTGATAGTTCCATGCTGTTATCCTTCTGAAAATCAGAAGTTTAAAATATGCGCTAGTATTTTTAACCTGCATTTGCTAAGATTGCACTTCCCTTGGAAAGATGTTGCACACTGTGAAAGCTGCACAAACTACAGCAGTCATAGTGTAGATTTTGGGATTTGCTGTTCATGCATCCCATGTTCTGCAGCAACAGTTCCAGGCTCTAGAATCCTCATTTCTTCCTTGGCAGTTCCTGAGGAAACAGGCAGCAGTACATGGAAGAACCTGGCAGGACGGCGGCAAAAGCATCACGATAGAGCAGTGATGGAAATGCAGCGGGAGCTGGGCTGCATTGGCAGGGTAAGGCAGGAGTTTTTTATCCAGTCTGGAGCTCTTCTAAGGTCAGGGCCCAAGATTCAAATGATCACACTGACCTACCGTTATAGGAGATGGCAGCCTCTGTTCTGAATCTTCAAGAATTCCTTCAGCTTCAAGTGATGAAATCAGATGAAAAGAGTAAACTTCTGTTTGAAAAGATTGCATCTGACATGGCTTTGGAAGCCTTCTCATATGAAGTAAGGCAACTCAGCATTGGCTCAACTGCAGTCACTTGTATCTGCTCTGCGTAGCATCTTCTTATGGCTTGCTGGAGTCCAAAATTACTTGGTTTTTACTTTTTAGATTTTCTTTTATGTGTTTTCACTTTTCAGTGAAATTGAAAGTAGATTTTTATTGCAGGGTTTGGAAGAACTCTGGAATATGATACACGAAGAGTCCTCAAACAGAAGGAAGTGTATTAAGGCAATGGATGAATCCCTAAAGGAGATTGAAAGGAGTCGAGCCATGAAAGTGAGCTGCAGCCTGAATAACTGTTACTGAAGCATAAGATTGGTATTTGCTGATACAATGCTGGGTGCAGAGCAAAGAGTAGCTTGTTTCCAAAGGAGTCAGAGGTCTGCCTGTAGTTCTGTTGTGTGGTGATTGCTTTCTTTTCTCCAATAAACTATTCATTTTATACCCACATAATCAGGAGAAGCTATTTTTTTTGCTAGTTTGAAGGCATTTCTTTCACAATTACTTATGCTAAAGGTGCAAGGAATATACGAGCTGCTTTTATTTCCCTGGAGAGTTGTGTAGGTCAAACTTTGTTTTGGTCTGTTATTTTTTGGGGGACATAACCATTCTGCAGTTGAGAAGGAGCTTAGACATGACCTAGCTTGATTTTAGTTTGGGTTGGCTGGATGTTGCTAGCAAACATGTTGCAGTTTTGTAGTCTTCAGCCTAACCTGTAAAAGTCATTGGACATCATAGGAAATGTTTGGATTAAAAAAAATAGACTGTGGAAGAGCTTGCTGCACTGTCCTTGTAGGCAAAGAAAAGCTGTTTGTTCTACCAGTGCCAGTTTTCTTCTCTTTTTGTAATTTTGGTACAATGAATAGGTCCAAGAGTACCACCAGTAACCTTTCTGTTGGATTAGTTACAATAAATGTCAGAGATGAACACGTTTGCTTTAATTTTGTGTTCACTCAAAACAGGCACTGGTGGATTTCCTTCAGATATTTGAAAGGAATGTAGTTTGATTTGTAAATTCATATTACGGCCAGTCTGCAGAGCACTCAATTATCACAGGTATTAAAGAGCAATCAGCTAAATAGTAGCAAAGTAGAATGTTTTAGTTAATGTTTTTATGAATTACTGAAAAAGTCAGTCTTTAAAGTAACTAAGATTAATATTTTAAAATTTACTTCTCAATCTGTGTGTCATCCAATTAATTTTAATTCACTTTAATAGATTTAATGAATAATTAATGAATCCAATGGAATTAATTTTAATGGAAAAAATTCTCTTGTTCATGTAGTTTTTTTAATTTGGGAAACTGATATTTGAGTTAACTTTTTGTTGTTGCTTTTCTTTATTCTTTTATTGCACAGATAACAGAGGTACTGACCAAGTATACAGTGAAACTGGAGGAAATTTCCTTCTTCTTGGCAGCTGATGTTCACAAACTCATAAACAATAAGGCAATGGTAAATGTTTTACCTGGAACAGGATAGCAGTTCCTAGAATGTCTTTTTTCCTAGCTGAAATTAATTTTTTCTGCCTATCAATCACTGAAATATAGAGAGATTTCTACTTTGTAGGGTGTTTGTAATCATTTGTATTCTTTTTTCCCCTCATTTTCTGTAGAAGACATATTGTTTTTTTTGTTTTTGCATGTTGTATGCTGCTTCTACTCCTAGTTTTGTTGTTTGTTTGTTTGTTTTTTTATATGCAGAATATAAACAGAGCATTGCTGGGTAATGAGAGAGCAACTGCCAAGTTGCTCTTTAATCTAATGAAATCAGAGCTTGAGAAAGAAAAATTGCATCAACTGAAGTGGCAAGAGAGAGTCAAGGACTGGAAGCTCATCCAAAAGAACTGTGTAGTTCAGAGTTTCAGGTCAGAAGCTTTGCAGTCTTATTTTGGACAATGACTAACACAAAGTGACTAGTGTTCACTTGTGGTTTCTATAAAGCCACAAGTTAAAAAAAGTTATTTTTTCTTTATACATATAATGTATGATACCACGTTTGATATCATGTTTCCATTATACATATCTTTTTTCCATCCTGCAGAGAATTTATGGCAAGTGAAGAAGTACAGAATCCCCCATCTGTGAAAATGGAAATGGAAAATATGATTAAGGAGCAAATTGTACTTGGTGAACACAGACTGAGGGTTTTGCAGTATATTGGGTATGGCAAAAGAGGATATAGTATAAAGGAAAACAGTTCTTGCTGGAGTTAATGTGAGGAGCTTGGCTACAAAATGCACTTTGCTTTCTGTCAGTGTGTGATTGTTAATTTCAGCAGTAAGACATGGTCAAAGCCTATTTTTCTACAGCTCTTTTTAATGGAAAAGCATTCTTGATTTTCACTGCTCCAGCTACACTAAAGAAGTGGTGATTGTGGGCTAAAAATGCAGGAATGCAAAAGTAAATCTTCCTGACATTTGAAACTGGTAGAAATGGGCAGACAAAGATGGGTGGAGAACTAGAAGTTGGTGTTTTTTTCTCCAAGGGGTTTAATTTGTGTAATAAATTCAGAGAGGAATATGGATAGAAATCTGACACTGTTATGTTTGAATATCCATCCTGAACACAAAAAGCATTTTTGGGTGCAATGCATTACAGTATTTACAGGGAGTTTTTTTACAGTGGTTGTTGGGAACAAGGTAGATAACAGTTCCTTGTTGATGTTCAAGGCCAACTGTTTATTACCCAACAGTCTCTTTGGTTGATTTTCATTGCAAGATGGCTGTAAATAAAATAAAGCACAGTAGCATGGATGCTCTGATTCATAATTTTGTATTTTTTAATAGTTTTATATACACGTGACTGGTTTGTATTTTAGAATACCTGACTCTTGTTTCCTACTTTGATAGCACCTTGTTGCCTCCAACATATACAAAATCTGACTTAAATGAATGGTACAGAACTCTGGAGAATTTAAACAAAAGTATAGGTAAGTTGGGAAATCATAAAAACAGTCTGGAATTCAAGCAATACTTTCTTTTTTCCTGGGCAATGATGAGGCAGACAGTTGCTTTGAAAGTGCATGTTTGCTCTATTCTTTGTTCCATCATGCCTTCTCAGTTGTTTTGAGCTGGCAGTAAGACCCAGAGAAGCTGCCTGTGACTTCACTTTCCTTTGGCTGGTGCAAACACTTGTACATGGTCACATCTAGCAGGAACTGGCTTGGTTAGAATTAATCTGGGGAAATAAAAGTTTAATTTTGACATGGATCAGTTTTCAATCATACAAAAATACTCCTTTTTAACTCTTGGAGAAGAAGAGGCGAAGAAGTACTGGAGGTACTTCCTTTCTCTGTGTCCTGTAGGGTGCCTTCCCTCTGTGTGCCTGCCTTCTCTTGCTCCAGAGCATGTCTTGTTGTGATGTTTGTAGCCTGTATGGTAGCAAAGAAGCTGGTAGCAATTGTAAATAACTTGCTACTTCTAAGCATGATTATAAACTGCTGTGTATTAAAGCATCTTACTTGATTGGTTGTTAGAGTCACACAGATGTGTGACACTGCTGGGATCTGTTCCCTCTGCTGAGATTCAGCACATGGCCTCTTGTCATGTTTCCTTTTCACACTGCACTGTGAAATACAGAATTTTGACTGTGGTCTGTTCCATACCATTCAGACACCCATAATGCAGAGTGTGTGGAGAAATTGCGTGTCCAGTATGAGCTGGTCCAGGGCAAATGTCAGGAAAAAGTGCAGACCTGCAAGGTGAGTGTCCCAGCTTTGGGTGTGGTAGCCGTGGTACAGTGTGCCATTACAGTAAAATGTGTTTGAGGATCCACCAAACACTGAGATAACAAGTGAAATTAGTTTTTAACCTCTGTCTTACTCAGTTCAAAAAGTAATCATCCATTTGGTTTCACAGTAGTGTTTGGTATTTGTACTTGAAATGTGTAAAAGCTGTAACAAATGCTAGTAATGAAGGGGGTTCTGTCCTGTGTTTATGTGGAGAATATAAGGACCTTCAGCCTTTGTGCTAAATCTATCTTGGCAAATCTGTCTTGCTCTCTGTCTCAGTTTCTCCTTCTGTATCCAGTTGAATTGTAGTGTTTAGTAAGCAAATGTGGGATATAGGAGGCTGAGTCTTTCTCTGTCCATCACAAGAGAAGAAACAATAAGTTTAGTCATGCTCTCTGAAAGTCATGCATGTCAATAATTTGCTATTCTTTTCATTTAGATGGCCCTGTTGGATAAGAACATTTGCACAGTAGAAGATGTTGAAATTGTACATTCCAACATGCTTCAGATGACTGAGAAACTAAAACAAAGGTTTGAAGAAGAACTGGAGCACATGGATGTATGTTAATTACATTTGTTTTTATCTTCTTGGCATTAGTCTGTTCTTTTTGTGCTCCCATCTGCAATGCCTTCTGCATTGTAGGCTATTAATGTCACATTAGAAAGAGCTTCATAGTGTGACTAAACACTACAAAGAAACAAAGTTTGGTGTGGAAGAGTTTCACATGGAAGAGTTCATAATTACTGTGTTTATTATTTGTAATATATTGCATTTTTATTATCACTTATGTCTGAAATACATATGATAGGGATGAATGGCATATGGCCCAGTCTGCCTGAAGGCAGAGGAATAGATTTAAATGATCTCCCAAATGTTGTGATTCTATACATCAAAATGACCATGCAGTTGTTCCTAAAGAGATAAATTGTAGAATGTGAGTTGGTGCTCTGCCATGTCAGAATAAACAGAAGTTTTGGTACTCTCAGCTTGTAGAATAAAAATCCACATTCTTACCCAGTTTACTTGGAATTTTTTTTTAGTCTCCATTTAGAAGACACACTATTGAACACCATTTGTGTAGTTCCAGGCAGACTTTTATCATGTTACATATGCTCTTATTCATTCATTTCACCTTCCAGCAGTTTAAAAATGAGTTGTTCACTGGAGTGTTTTTCTTTAGAGTGATTTTAAGGAGATGGCTAAATGGCATGAGCAGAATTGTCAAGGCTTGTACAGCTGTGTTCAGGAGGCCATGGGTCTGTGGGATGTCCATCTACTCCAACTGTCCCAGCAGGAAGATGTTCTTGAGGAAAAACTAGATAAATACAGATTGGAACAGGATGACATAATACAGGTATAAACATAAAAACAAGGATGTGGCATAATGTAAAGAAAAGACTTCTTAATACAAAGAAGCCTCTGGAATTCGAAGCAGCTGCTATAAAATATCTGACTTTTACATTGGAATTTTTACTTTCCGGTTTCATTCTGTCAAGTGCATTTTTGCTAACTGCTTGATTCACACTGAATGGACAGTCCTGTCTTGTTCTTGATATGGCAAAAGTGATAAATATCACTGCTGCTTTCTGTACAAAGTGGCTGTAAGTTGCTATTATGAGATTTTGTGCAGGTATGGACTCTGGTTGAATGCCAAATTCTCACAGTGACAACAGCCAGCTTGGGATGGCTGTGTCAGAGCTGTTCACTATCTAGGAAGATCTTCATAAGTGATGAATTTGGCTAAGGTCTTGGTGTAGAATATACATTCATAATCAAATTACTTGAATCCTAGTTATGGATATTTTAGTATATACTGAACCGTTTTTACTAGCTTTTTAATGTGGCCTTAGGTGATGAAAGATGCTATGGATACAATTTTGGAAAAAATGAAAATGGCGAGCTGTGAAGAAGAGCTGAAGGAATATTTGGAGAACGCCCTTTCTTCTCTAGATGAAATTAAAACTAGGTATGAATTTTGTATAAAAGTAAAGCATATTTTAACATTAGTTGTACTACTTAGGCCTTGTTTATGCTGTTGTGTGAAGGTCTGGAAAAAGAGTGTTTTACTTCATGTAAGAATATAAAATAATGTACATATTGAACAAGGTTAAGGCAAATAATACCCACTGTTTAGAAATGGGATCAAGAAAGACTGATATCATTCAAAAACCATACCACATCAGTATTCCTGTGCATACCATCACATCCATGCCTTATTCAGAAGGTAAGAGTAATTGTTCAGATTCTTGAATCACAGGAATCAAAAGTTGGTCTGCACCATCACATCTGCACTTGATCTCATTCAAAGTTGCAGGGACTAAGATCTTTAAGTAGCCAAAGTATTTATTTTGGTAAGCACTCTTTTATCCTTTTTGTGATTAGGCATTTTCAACCTTAAAAACCATATAAAAATTGGTACAATACTGCTCTTTTTGCTAAAATATTTAGCAGCAGGTGTGAAACCTGAGAGGAAGCAGCTCTGCTCTCACACCCAGGGGGTCTTTTCTGCCTGTTAGATCAGAGGCACATTAGAAGAGCAATATGGACATGAGGGGCAGATTTACACACCTTATAGTGGGATTGTGGTGGTTTGATACTCCTAAAAACCATTCATACAATTTTTAAAAAGCCAGAGGTAACAGACCAAGTGAAAATACAATGTAACCTATCTGAACACATACATAAATTCCCCATAGTTATCTTTGTTTAGGAGACAAAGCAAATGTAAATGAAAACAAGTGTAAACACTGATTTTTCTCGAATCTAGACTCAGCTTGAACTGTTAGTTTTTATTTTTAAGTAAAATGAAAATAAATCAGAAAGGCTCAGTCACAGCTGAGCACAGTGTAGAACTAACAAGAAAGACAGTAATTTGACCTCTCTTACATAAGCAGAGTTTGAATGGTTCCCCATTCAAAAGGAAGGATGTAAAAGGCTTTATTGTAAATATTTCTTAACTTTTGTGCATTTATTTATTTGTAATGAACTAATACCTAACAAGCCAGGATGTGATTGTGTTCAGTATAAACAGATCAATGACTATGTTTAGCCTAAAGGTTTTATGAGATTGATCAAAAAAGTTAGATTTAAGGGCACTGTAATCACACTTAATTTTATTTCTAATATTTTAATCTCTTAAACAGTGACCTTAAATTTGACAGGATTGAGACATTCAAGCAGATTGTAATGAATGAAGTAATGGCTTATCCAAAAGCTATTTTGTGGGAGTTGATTTCTTATAGTATATCCATCAGCCAGCACTTTATTGTGAAGGAAATCTTCAAACAGGTAAAAAGAATATTTCTTCTAGTTCAAAACCCTACTGGTGTATTACTTTTTCACTTTAGAGAAAATTTGCATTACCTTTAAAATTCAGATTATATAAAGTACTGTTTCAGCCATTGAATAAAGTGCTTTTGGTAGAGATAGCAGAGGGTCCAAACTTTTAACTCTGTCCTTGTTACAAACAGAATTTCAGCAAATTCACTTGGCTTTTGAACAGAAAACTACAAGGTAACAGATTTTCAGTAATTGTTTTGAGTGTTACAGGTTCTTTAGATAGTGAGTGATCTTTTCAACACTACTGAAATAGATACATTTGAGAAGGGATATGGTTTTTTAGAAGAAAGCAAATCTCTATTTTAAAATGCTGTGATGGGTGTTTTTTGTTGTTGTTTTGCTTTTAGAACTTTCAAGACACACCAGACTTCACAGTTCAAGATCAAAATAATACCTCAACAGTCCAAACAGGTATTTCTGCTTGGTTGTTTTTCAATCTGTATTTCTTTGGATTGTAACCAGAAGAACTCTGCTTTAACTGTAAATAAGTAGTCGAGGCTTCAGAAGGTGAACATATAGTGGAGCAGCAAGCTGAGAGCATCGTGCAAAGAGAGGAAAATCAGAGTATCCTGAGCTGGAAGGGACCAATAGGGATTGTGGAAGTCCAACTCTTGGCCCTGCCCAGACACCCCAACAATCTCACCCTGTGTATCCCTGAGAGCATTGTGCAAACTCTCCTGGAACTCTGGGAGCTTTGGGGCTATGCCCATTCCCTGGGGAGCCTGGGCAGTGCCTGACCACCCTCTGAGGAAAGAACCTTTTCTTAATCTCCAGTCTAATCCTCCCCTGGCACAGCTCCAGCAATTCCCTGAGCCCTGTCCCTGTCACAGAGATCAGAGCTGCCCCTTCACTGCCCTTGAGAAGAGCTGCAGCTGCCAGTGAGGTGTGACCTCAGCCTCCTTCAGCTGAGCCAAATGCCCTCAGCCACTTCTTGTATGGTTTCCCCTCCTGACCCTTCACTATCTCTGTGTCCCTCCTTTGGACATTTCTGTAATAGCTTTAGGTCTTTCTGACATTGTGGCAATCAAAATTACCCCCAGGGCTCGAGGCAAGGACATTGCAGCCCAGAGCAGAGCAGGACGATCACCTCTGTCAGCTGGTGCCAGAAGATGGGGACAGTTGTCAAAAATCAGCTGGAGAAAAAAAGCTAACAGAGAAAGAGGTGATCTTGGCACAGGGAATTGAAGAAACAGAGGAAGAAGAAGATGAGGAGAGTATTCCTCATAAAAGTAAAGAAAATGAGCATGCAGAACAGGGACTAAGCATTACACAGGTAAGTGAGCAAGAGAATAAGTTTGAAGGTGGAGGCAGTCTTGTCCAAAATAATGAGGAATAGGAAGTCTTTTTGCTGAGAAGGAGTAGAAAGTAATTTTTTTTCTTAGTTTCCTTACAAAGTACACAGATCCTTTTATGGGAAAATTGAGTGTATAAAACAGTTCACAAACACTCTTTTCAGTCTTTTACCCATGTAGAAACCCTTTGCATAATTTTTTTTTAATCTGTCTTTCATCAGTGTTCTCAGCCTGTGGTTTTAAGCTAAGTATTTGTACCTAAGTATTAATTTTTCAGTTTCCATTAATTTGTTGCCATAACAAAAACCTTTTAAAACGTTGTCAGCTCTGCCTGTGTCTTGCTGGCATACAAATACATAAAAATATAAATATTGCCAGCACTGTGTAAATGTCCAAATTGAGAATGAGAACATTATTCTAAATGTCCAAATTGAGAATGAGAACATTATTCTAAATGTCCTCAGTATTCCTAGACTAGCTGATGCACTGTTGATTCTATGCTGATACCTTTAAAAGTAATGTGACAATTTCCAACAATTTCCCAGTCAGTGTCCAAGAGCAGCGAGGCAGAGAGTGCTGAAATTGCCACTGCTAGTGAAAACACTTATACTGTTCTTAGAGTTGAAGAGGCAGGAAAGACTGACATCACAGAGAGTTATTTTACAAAATATGAAAAAGAAGAATCACTTCCTATGTACCTGAAATATGTACTTCTCACAGAAGCCATGTTTGTTGAACTGAAAAAAAGGTGAGCTGAGAACATTTTCTGTTCTTTCTTTCTCTTTATGTGATAGACAAATTTCAGCTGCTTAGAAGAAACATTAGACTAGAGAGGCAAAAGTTATCTAATTACTATTATATAATTGGATATTTATATAGTTACATTTTCAATTATAAAATTATGATTGTACAATTATTATGTTATTCCACTTTTTAAATTGATACAAATACGATAAAATGTTTTATTGTTTTGTATCTATGGCTATCAAGTACCACAGAAACATTTGCCTTTACAGAACATTAATATTTTAGGGAAAATTATTTAGTCAGAAAAGATATTACAGAAAGACAAGTAATTTGCCCAGATTCCCTACCATGAAGTAAAAATGCCTGGTACTCAGTACTAAGCATCTAGCTCAAAAACTCTACCAGTATTGTGCAAATGGTACTGAAACTGTACCTTCCTATAGCCAGAAGTTAAATTCTTAGAAATAATATATTCAGTAAATTCTTATTTATTATTTACTATTCCTTACTTTAATATTTCTTTTTCAATCATAGGATTCGCCTCTGCTTTTTTGAACACTTGGTGGAATGGTTTGCAGAATCCTTGTCCAACTCCTATGCCTCTGTAGCTGCCAAGAAAGAAGAGCTGAATTCAATACTTATGCTGCATCTTATGTTGCATCAACAAAAGCAGGAGGAGATACAGAGCATCTGCAATGCTCGAGCTGGTATTGACATTTTTTTTGTATTGTGAGCATCACATGTCTTCATTTAGAGGTGGTCCTAAGTGGGCCAAAATCTGTTTCAGCAGTAGTTGACTCTGTAATAGAGGACAACAGAAAGCAGTTCACTGTCTATGAATTCCCAGTATATTGTATTAGATCTTTTTTAAATGACATTTCTTTTCTATAGCTCTTCCTGGTTTATACTGTTATTTTTGGAAAAATAGACGGCAGTGCATTGATTAACAACTGGGAAGACATTAAAATTCTGTTGAAGAAGATGTTAAAATTCTATTGTAAATGTTTGTGAATTCTCATCCACCTTGAAATTATTTAACAAGAGTTTGTGGTGTAAAAAAAACTATTTAAAAAGTGTTGCAGAAAAAGAAATTAGCAAGTTGAGAGAGCCAAATATCAGGGCCAAGCTTCTGAAAACATGAGAAGGAGGATTTAACTCTGTGAAATATCACTGAGCAGCTACAGAGCATCCTCTAATGAAAACCCTTTTTGCATGGGAAGTGTCAGGTTTTTATGGTGAGAAAGAAAATATTTTAGACAGGTTTGTTGGTCTTGAATACATAAGTTTAAAATTCTTCTTTTGAAGAACAGGCAAATAATTTTTCAATTTTCCTTTTTCTGCAGAGAGGACAGATGCTTCTTCTGGTAGCTTTCTTGAGACGATTGGCTGGCTCTTGATTTATACAGCTATCATTCCAGAAGAGAGACCAACACTGATTTTCTTATTTCCCTTACAAAACCAGGAAAAGTGTATTTTCCATTGAAAAATGCTACCTTTAGTTTTGTTACAAGACTGAGAACAGAGGGATAATGGATATGTCAGCAATGACCAAAAATAAAGGAAAAGGAATGCTTAGAGCAAACAAGAGACATTTGTGGTTTGAATGGATTAGGAGCTGTTAAGGATATATGTCTTTCACAGGAGAAAAGTCAAAGCAACCAAATTGAATGTATTTAATCTGTGTGTTTTAGCTATTATGAGGTCTGGCTTTGTTTATTTTGCTGCTGCTGCTGATCATGGGTTAACTGAGCATTGTGATAGTTCACAGCAAAGAGGAAATAATGTCTCTATTATAAACTTCTTTTCTTCTCAGAGGAGCTGTCACTTCACAAAGAGCACCTTGAGCGCCACCGTGCAGTGCTGGCAGAAGGCCTGAAAAAGGAGAAGGCTGAATTCCTCCGATTTTCAGACCACCTAAATAACCTCAACACAAACTTTCATTCCCGAGTCCATAACTTGGAGTATGACTTGCTCCACGCTCCTGTGACTGACGAGTAAGTGTGCCACTGCTGTTCCTGTGAGTCTCCCTAGTTAAATACTCCTGATTGCTGTCTGAGATGTTTATGGTTTGCATTCTGAACTTGTTTTATATGTCATTGCTCTTCAATGAAGACTACTTCATAAAAGTTGAAAACATGTAAAGAATTTCATTCTCTTTCCCTGATTAAATTAAAATCAGGACTGAACACATGGAGATTTTAGTCTCCTTTCAAATTGCTGGCACTCTTTAAGTAGAAAAGATGTTTCATCTGTTTAGATTTTATCTGAACATGCACAGTAATATCAGTTGACTAATTGTTTTTGAAGAAAAATGCCCAATAGTGTCAGCTCTTGCTGATACCTTCCATGGGTTCATCCAAATCATCCCAGATTGGGGAGTTGCTTAGAGAGTCATAAATCACTTTTGAATCCTCAATATTTGCCATGTCTTTACACCCAGCAGTTGCTGAATCATCATGTGTGTTCCTCTTCAGACATGTTTCCCTGTCTTTTATTATTTGCTGTTAGGTCAGCTTCTTCCAGCAGGAATCTGGAATCAGAGCTCCACAACCATCTGGAATCGATCAGAGTTACTGTGAGGAGTTACCAGCAGCACTTGGAGCAAGCTTTAGGAAAATTAAGGGATTCAAACGTGGGTTTTCTCAAAAGTTGCAGGTATATAGATTTCATGGAAGTGTTGTTTATAAATGGTGATCTAGTTCTGGGAATCAGTGTTTGTTGCATAGGCAGAACAGTAAAAGTAAAGTTTATTTTGTTATTCATCTAGTTTCCTATTTAAAAAAAGAAATGTATCTTGTTAAACCACAATTATTGTGCTGTTTTCATCACGTTTGTGTTGTTCCAGGGCTGTTTAGCTGGAATGGTCTTGGAGTAAAATGACTGTCAGCCAATTGTTTATATGTCTGCTTTCAGATTATTTTCAGAGAGTGGTGACTTTGCATCTGAGGAGGTAAAGTTTTTCAACGAGTGTCTTCAGGAAGAAAGTAAGCAAATTGACTCCTTTGAAAGTTCAATCAAGACAGATGTGGAGAAAATAAAATCGAGCTGCTTGGAGCAGGTATGCAGAATTACATTATTTAAAATTATGTTTTCTATTAACATATTTTATGTGATTTGCAGTCAGCCTGCTTTCAGATTAGAACTGTAAGTCTGTCCTGTTTGGCAATTACATGATGGAAAAAATTAGTAGAATGGCAAGTTCTATCAATTAAGTCTTAAAAAGTGAAAAATTATCTTGTCTTTTGTTTCTGACATTCTTAAAGGCTACTGAACTTTTCAAGCAGTCTGGAAAAAAGTTTGTTTCTCTGTCTCTGAGTCGAGCCTTTATGGAGAAGGTCCATCAGTATTTGAGAAAGCTACGACAGCAAATCAAATCAGAGGTACAAAGAGAAACATCAGAACTTTGCTTAAATTCAAGATAATAATTTTCTTTTATACCTTTGAGGAGATTTTGGCTGAATTCATAGTGGACAAATATTACCTAATTTTTTATGTTAATTTAAAACCCGCTTTCTGTCACTATCCACTGAAAAGTTTATTTTTAATACTGCTGCAGCTGTGCTGGAACACTATGGCCTTGCAACACATTGTGTATGTACATCTGAATTCACCAATATTTTTGTGTGGTGCAGCTGCTTTTGTCAATTACTGTTTTCATCTTCTCCTCTGGGGGTACTGGGGATTTTTAACCAGTTTTTATCAGTGGTTCTAATGGTTTGAAAGTGGAACCTCTGAAATTCCTGTGAATGGGGACTTCTCCTGTTTCTTAAAGTTTGCTTCTGCTTTAGGTAGCGAATTCCAGTTTTCAGTCAATCACATTAAAGTCTTACCTGGAAAAGCTCCAGCAGAAGAGAGATGCTTATGTTCATTCTACTGCAGATAAAGAAGTAACTTCTAATCAGCATGACATGGTATTTAATTTGACTTGTTATTGTTATTAATTTGGTATAAACTAATATTTTGGAGAAAGATTTATGTTTCTTCATATTTGGGGCTGGGCAGAAACACAGAATTTTTGCTCAGAAAGGTCCTTGTCCTGGATTCAGCTGGGATAGAGTTAATTTCTTCTCAGTAGCTGTTACAGTGCTGTGTTTTGGATTCAGAATGAGAATAGTGTTGGTAACTCAGGTTTTGCTAAGTCCTGTTTATCCAAAGTCAAGGACCTTTTTTTTTTCTTGTCTCCTGCTCCGTCACTGAGGAGGTTCACAAAGGAAACAGGGAGGGAGTATAGCTGA